AGTTTTTCTTCTCTCCCAGTGTTCCTACCCACCATTCTCAAGGAGATGGGCTTCACAGCCATCAATGCCCAGGGGCTCACTGCACCTCCATTCTTCGCCTCATTCCTGGCGACGATCGCGACCACCTGGGTGGCGGATCGCATACAACAACGTGGATTGATGATCGCGGCTTTATCAATGGTTGGTGGTGTGGGGTACATCCTTTGCGCGACTTGCACATCAGTGGGTGTTCGATACTTTGGAGTATTCTTGGCGGCCTGTGGGGTCTTCCCCTCGATCGCCAATATTCTGCCGTGGGTTTTGAGTGAGTCATCTCCTTTCTTAGACTTTCCTGTAGGCCTATCACTGATTGAATGTATTACACATTGTACAGATAATCAGGGCTCAGATACCCGCCGTGGTGGAGGTATTATTCTGCTGAACCTGGTCGGTCAATGTGGTCCTTTCCTGGGTACCAATATTTTCCCAGATCAACAAGCCCCGAGATATATAAAAGGTATGGCAATTTGTGCTGCTTTTATGTTCTTCACTACACTCCTCGCTTTGTGTCTGCGGGTGCTCCTGGTATGGGAGAACCGACGTCTTGACAAGAAGTATGGGCCTCGCATTGAAGACACGAAAAAATCTGTGGATACCCCGGTAGCGGAGGATAATTATGGTGCTAATTACCGTTTTGTGCTGTGATTTTTGCATCTAACAGATAGTGTATATTCTGCATCTGCTTGTATTTTCATATATATGCACCAGCCAAAGGCTGTGATGCCTATGATGTCAGAAAGCCCCAACAGGGTTCGAAACGAAAAAGGAAATAGGTTATATTTCCCGTTGAATTCACAGATGTAGGTGGATCTCATTCCCGATAATAACTTCTCCCATTATGCGATGCTACCCCATTCTGCGGTGCTGCCCAGGTGGTCCCCACGTAGTCGGTCGTCAGTACGTACATAGATCGATGTACCAAGTGCCACTAAAACACCTAATCTTGTACGTTCAGACAAGATAGTATCCAACAGTTTAAGATTTGTGTACTCTATTTCCATCTAGAACTTATAGCTACCTTACGTTGCACTGGAAACCTACTCCGTGGGGCAAAGTAAGAAACCGGGACAGAACGCTCCGGCCACTCATGAAGCGAAGAGCTAGAAAAGTTAGAAACGTCACTTGAGATCTGCATCTCATTCGTGCATGGTAGCTCACCGAAGAAAACAGCTCACCGAGGAAAACCGGAGGGAGTCGGAGAAATGCATAGAGGGATGATGGTGGGGGGGGGGGTCCGTGACTACATATAAGCTTGACCCCTCGTTCTTTTTTTTCTACTTCTCTTCAATCCATTGACGAATTTACATCACAACAGTAACTATCTACTACCATGTACTTACATATCAGGGCTGACTCTCATTTAGATCCCAAACGGACAAGTACATACTGCCCTTCCTTTGGGAGCCATGGATACTCTTTGGCTGGGCATATTATCCCTCAGGGATCAAGGTATCTCAGGTAACTTCTGGGTGATGAGCCGGTGTTCGTTCTTGCGTCGGTGGTGAATGAAATGTCTAGATATATACATCTAGACATTTCATTTATCTTCGGCGTGGGTTCGTTCTGAGATTATACGGCCTTTAACTTGATCTGGATAATACCAGCGAAAGGATCATGCCCTCCCCCTTCCTTCCCCCCCCAAACTAGAGTAGTCAAACTAACCAAGGCTCAAAGTTATATCTTCGACTTGATCTCTGAACCATTATGTCTCCTCCTGCTGCCATGTTTGAGCCTGCTACTGTTGCCCCTACCGGCATCAAGGGCAAGGTCATCGTCCCCGAGTCGGTGACCACCACCCTAACCGGCCAGGGCCAGTCAAAGCTCCTTGAACAGTTTGGCAACAAATGGGATGAGTTCAAGTTCGCCCCGATCCGCGAGAGCCAAGTCTCGCGCGCCATGACCCGACGCTACTTCCAGGATCTGGACAACTACGCCGAGAGCGATGTTGTCATCGTCGGTGCTGGTTCCTGTGGTCTGAGCACTGCCTATGTGCTCGCCAAGGCCCGTCCAGACCTGAAGATCGCTATCGTGGAGGCCTCTGTGTCGCCTGGTTAGTCTTGTCCCAAGCGAGCAGACTGTCTCTCATAGACACTCGACCCTCCACCCAATACAGCATCACTAACATACCATATAGGTGGCGGTGCTTGGCTAGGTGGTCAGCTATTCAGCGCCATGATCCTCCGACGCCCCGCAGATGCCTTCCTGACCGAGCTCGGTGTGCCCTTCGAAGAAGAGCCCACGAACCCTAACTTCGTGGTCGTCAAGCACGCCGCTCTGTTCACGTCGACGCTCCTGTCAAAGGTCCTCGCCTTCCCCAACGTCAAGCTCTTCAACGCGACCTGTGTCGAAGACTTGATCACCCGCCCAGACGGGGACGATATCCGCCTCGCCGGTGTCGTCGTCAACTGGACCCTCGTCACCCTCCACCACGACGACCACTCCTGCATGGACCCCAACACCATCAATGCCCCGATCATCGTCAGTACTACTGGCCACGACGGGCCATTCGGTGCTTTCTGCGCCAAGCGTCTTGTCTCCATGAACGCTATTGAGAAGCTGGGCGGCATGCGTGGCCTTGACATGAATGCGGCTGAGGACGCTATTGTTAAGAACACCCGTGAGGTCGCCAAGGGTCTTATCATTGGTGGTATGGAGCTGTCGGAGATTGATGGCTTTAACCGTATGGGCCCTACTTTTGGCGCTATGGTTATGAGCGGTGTTAAGGCTGCCGAGGAGACTCTGCGTGTCTTTGAGACCCGTAAGCGTGAGTGTGCTGAGTAAATTCGCACTCTCTCGTGCTGGCTCGCTTTGTCGTTTCTGCTTGCTTCTTGCTCGATGCTGGTAGACTCGGTGGAGGCTCATATAGCTTTTATGATAACGATCTCTTAACAAATGCACTTCACACTCATTTCGTGCAAATTCTCTTCTGTTTGGATCCGTAGAGTATTTTATCTTGAGAAGTTGATCTTGGTTTCGAATTATGAATTAGTTTTGCCAGTCGAGGAAAGACTAGCCGGGCATATAATATACTACGCTTTCGTCACTAAATATACACACGTAAACAGACGAAGAAATCATGTAATCCAGCCACCTCTCCTGGGAATAATTAAATCCCTTTCCACAGAACAGCATGTGAAGAAATGTTCAATCATGCTTGTGGTTTCTCTCCGTTTCTTCCGTAGCTGCGCCTGCGCTTGCCTCCGCGGCGACCACCAAGCTCCTAGCATTTCTGACCTCCCACTCAAACTCCTTCAAGGCACGTAACTCACCCGACATGAACAGTCCACCAATCAAACCATCCAGGATCCCAGCGCCGAAGTTGAGCGTGCTGACCAGGACGAGGATGAATCCGATGTATGTGCGGCTGCCAGCCCACCACACGCCGACCATGCAACCAATGGAAACCACAATAGACACTAAGAAATGCGCTAGGCGCCAACGGCGCTGAGAGCGTTCACGGGACACATATGTGTGAATCATGCCAATGATGAGGTCGTATGTGTCCGGGGAAAGCGCGGCATTTGGGGAGACGGGCTTTGAAGTTGTTCTATGCAAGGTAGGAGAATTGGGAGAGGCCGGAGCAGAGTCTGTGGACTGGGAAGGAGGGTATGTCGGTACCGACGAACGAGTAATGACAGCCTCAACGGCGAAGTGGTCGCTCAGCGAGCAAAGGAGAGTGGGATGACGCTGCGTCATGGAGATCTGAACGGACTCGACTGACCAGCTAGACGGCGGGAATGCAGGTGGATAGCCACCGTCGCCAATGAAGATATAATCCAGGCGTTTACCGCGCGGGTCTGGGGTATCCTTGTCAATGACAATATCCTCACCCTTGACTAAGCGCTTGCGCATGTCCTCAGTCCAGCGCCAGGTATTGAACGACCCGTCGCACGTAGCTCCATTCTCGGCAAGATTGAACTCGGCCGTTGGAATAGGCAGATTGCGTGCTTGTTCAACAGGATCAATTGCCGCCGCGAGGGACGAGTCTGGGTGCAGCTCGCGCCATGCATCGCGAACGGGGCTCTGCGCAGTTATGAGGCGGTGGGCGAACGAGGAAGGAAGCATGTTGAAGTCACCCAGACCGATTACTAAATGACCGCGCTCCGCAGCCCCACGCATCAGCTTAGATATCTCCCATGCCTGTGCAGTCCGGTGGCAGAGATATGAATCATTTGGTTCTCGCTCATACGGAGCATGTAGGTGAGTGCAGAACACTTCGGCGACATCAGCAGTACCAGGGCCGAACCGAACGCGTGCGCTGGCGACACCTTTCCCCACGAACCAATCTCCTCTGAAAAATGCCGTTGGTCGGCCATTCAACGGGTAGCCGAACATGCTGCTTTCCTCGATTGGCCATTTTGACAGAATCGCCAATCCCGCGCCAAATATGCCGCCGTAATAAAATTTCCCATATGGCAGGATGTGTCGTGTCTGCTCGCGAATGCTTTCAAAATCCTGCTGGGTCCAGCATTCTTGCAGTCCGACTATCTCGGGCGGCGGGCTGGCTATTGCCAACTGCCGCCCAATCTCCGACATGCGTTCATGGCGGTACTTCGCGATGTATTTGAGACCCCAGCAGTTGAACGTGAGAATGCGGATGTCGCTTGGAGCTTTTGAGGGGATAGAGCAAGCCATTGGGTCAGATATTGACCGAAATGAGCTTTGAAGACTCTGTTTATGGTTTTCGATCGGCCAAGAAGTGCTCAAGAAGTGCTAAACAAAGATCTGAGGTCGATATTCCAGCTGAAGTCCTCGGGACCACGTGCTTGTTTAGTATGACGCAGGCCAACAAGAGCTTGTCCCCGAACTCACCGCCTGCAAAATACGACACCGCCTTGATATTGTGCTCCGCGGCGCGTCCATTGAATTTCATTTTCGAGGCTCGAAATTGGAAATTGCTGACTGAATTTTGGCGTATTTGCATCGTTTGATTAAATGCGTTTGCGTGTCGTTATTGTATAATGGATCATGCAAACCCCAAGCCTCGACGCCGAGACCCTCGCGCGCAATCACCTGCTGAGTCGTCCTCCGATGAACTCGCAGCAGGCTCCGACCACGACGAAGCCGAGCGCCGCCGAGCCAGCTGGACTATGCAAAAAGCTTTCACCCCCCAGCGCCCACAGAAGACCGGACGTCTCTACAGCGAATCTGAGAGTCCCGACGAGTTAGCTGTGGACGCCGGCGAATACTGGCGTTCATCACGCATGCGCAACCGTCACCGAAGCCCTTCTCCCATCACCCACACCAACATGCGTGACGATCATTCCCACGGCGGATCGGATGATCTCCCTGACGACAATATGCCTGCTTCAGACATTGACCAAGCTCGCGACGCCGAGGACTGGTCCAATCGTTCTGACACGCCTGTTCCAATCCCGCCAGCCGCTTCCCTTCCCATCAATGTGGACTACAGGGAGAAATTTGTCATGCACGGTCATCTGCGCGGAGTCTCAGCTGTGCAGTTCTCGCCGGACTGCTCTATGATTGCTAGTGCCGGTATGTCTTGTGCTCATGATCTACATACTACATGAATTGAGAACTGACTTTGCACAACAGGTGCCGACGCAGCTCTCAGAATCTGGGACACTGCGAGCGGTAGACTCATTCATATCTTCGAAGGACATCTAGCTGGTATTTCTACCCTTGCCTGGGCCCCTGACGGTCAATGGATCGCAACTGGTTCCGATGACAAAACAATTCGCTTGTGGAACGTCAACACTGTAAGAAACCCCCTCCATCATATTATGTCCTAGGGCCTCATACTAATGCTTAGATACAGCTCAAGGCCCACACTAAGGTCTTTGATGGCCATCAAAACTACGTGTATCAAATCGCATTCGCCCCGAAAGGTAACATCCTTGTCAGCGGTTCCTACGACGAGGCCGTGTTCATGTGGGATGTTCGCCGAGCCCAAGTGATGCGCTCCCTTCCAGCCCACTCCGACCCTGTTGGCGGTATCGATGTTGTGCATGATGGTACCCTTATCGTTTCATGCGCCCTGGATGGACTTATTCGTGTCTGGGACACCCACAGCGGCCAGTGTCTCCGCACCCTGGTCATGGAAGACAACCCGCCTGCAACTTGCGTCAAGTTCTCACCCAATGGCAAATTTGTCTTGGCCTGGACCCTGGATAACTGCATTCGGATGTGGCATTATGCTGAGTGCCGCGTCCTCAAGACATTCCAAGGCCATGTCAACACGAAATACAGCTTGTCGGGATGCTTCGGTACTTATGACCCCCCAAATGCGATCTACGCGTCACCCCTATGTTTTATCGTCAGCGGCAGTGAGGATGGTTCTATCTTCTTCTGGGATCTTGTGAGCAAGCAGATTTTGCAGCGTCTTGATGGACATGCAGGCGCTGTGCTTTGTGTTCACACTGGTATCCTAAATGGCAAGCGTATGGTTGTGAGCTGCGGGGCGGACAAGACGGTTCGTTTGTGGGAAGAGGTAGATGGAAACGATGATGACGACGACGATGCGTCCAGCGGTGATGCCACTCCTACCCCCGAGTCCCACTCGCGGTCTCGCTCGCAAACCAACACCCCTGCCCACGATGCAGATGGCGATAATGCCATGACTGATGTGTCTGCTGTGCCTTCCACTGCCGCCACCCCCGCGGAAGATGCGACTGCGGAGGATGTGACCATGGCATGAGCTGATCTCTGCCATTTACGTAACGATTTTTCTTTCTTTCTGCATAGGCGGTTGCTTTTCGGGAAAAGGAAAATACCCCGGCGTCTGGTGTTGTTCTCATATGGACAATTTGTGTTTCCCGGCTGTTCTGACAGCTTGGGCTTTTCTTATCAATCATGCGACCTCATCTGATTGATACTTACATCACATTCGAATATGTGACATATCGAGCGAATGTAATTACTCAGAATCTGATAATACATTTCACTCCTAACATAAAACAGTAAAGCTTAGTCCATTTTAGAATCGGTAAAAAACTTCGGTCTTTTACTCCGTAGGTCACCCTACTCTTCTTGCGCCAACATTCACTTTCCCTCTTTAATCGCCAGAATGGCGAGGGCTCCTACGTGATTTGGGGGAAAAGGCTCTAGATGAAAACAACAAAGGCTGCAAGGAAATCAGACTCAAAAGACCTGATCGTATTGTTTGCAGAGATATACCAACTGAATTGAGAGAATCCATGCTTACTTTCACCTTAAAACAAAGAGAACCCTACAGAAGTATATTGATAACTTGCCCTGTCTACTCTACAACCTATGTTTTGTTAGGTGACTATTTATAGAATAAACCCGAAGCCCTATATACTTAGGCCCCACTATGTTTCCCTTCACCTTGTTGTAGTATGTGTCTAGGATATACCTAGACAGGTATATCGAAGAGCAGATGTAGTGAAGCACCGCTCATTTGTGGCTGTTTCGGAAGCGGAGTGTGGTATGAGAATTCTATCTTTCAACATGAAGCAAGGATCTACAAATACTCATATCATATTCCATTCTTGGGCCCGCAGGATGCAAAAATGACTCCTTGTACGTGCTTAAGCAGAACATTTACCCCAAATGGCTATGATTTACCCAGAATTTCCGTCTGACCTCATAGTAGGTTTTCAACGTCTGGGTCTTAGGGGCATAAATGGGTTTATTCTGCGAGTGTCTTGCCTTTAATTTCCTGTACTTTATATACCCGAGACCATTAGCATAATACAAACGAGCCGCTCGAAAACAATGACCTGACAAAGACTCCCAGAATCAAGGATTTATGTAGGTTACTAGGTCGATGATGCAGTAAGTGAACATACTGAATTGTGTATATTTCATTACTCTAATTTAAATTGGGACCAATTGTCCACAATATGACATACGAGGTCATATAGCTGCACAAAACCAATACTGCAATGAAGGTTCCACTCCAATGCCCTGCATATCCTGTAGTTTATATTTGTCACAATACGCAGGATATATTTGGTTGGATAACTGAGCAGCAAGCCCTCAAATGCACGCGCAACGCCGAAAATCTCAGGGTATCTCTTTCAACAACTCGTCTAATTGCTGACGATTTGACTCGCGGTAGCAGATGCAGGATCTGACTCGCTGGGTGCTAGATCAGACCCCAAACCACCAGCCCAGCCAGCAGGAGGTGTGTCATATGACTGAACAGATTGAGTTCCATCAAGTTGTTTGGTAGCTCCTTTCCCAGCCAAAGAAGACCGAGCAGGCGTCTGTGTCTTTCTCAGCCCGTCATCATTCAAGAACCGACGAAGTGACTCCTTGCCAATTTTATAATCAACCAGTACAAGCAGTTCATCGTATGTGATTTGGGGATTCGCACGAAAAGCCTCACGAATTCGGGCTCGATCTTCGTCCTTCAGCTTTGACGGTCGGCCAGAGCGGGCTTGTGAGTGGTTATTGACACGATTGCTCTCTCGGAGAATGGTGGATTTGATGGTCGAGAGTGGGATATGTGGGTATTCATTCTGGATCTGTTTGTAGGTCCATTTGGCTGTGGTTCTGAGCACACAGAGCCGGGTCCGAAGGAATGGATCGAGTTCGGCCCCACGTCGACGAGATCTTTTCTCGGGTTTATCTGGGATCTCGGGCTTCTCGAGCCCCTCGGGCCCCATGGTAGCGAGCTTGTGCCTGGAGAGAGAGGTGACGAGCGGGGTGGTGGAATGAGAGTCTTTGGTTGTCAGTCACGATGTAGTAGGCGGTATGGATAGTACATTTTCTGCCATATAGCCCTAACAGGAAGGTCGTACGGAGTATATATCTTCATGTCTGAATTCATTTGCCTCTGTACAAATCACAGGTTACATAAGTTATTTGTTAGGGTTATGCTTAATATTGTGAATGTTCTGCTGTGACCATTGTTAATTATTTCAAATGGTGATAGCACTGTAGGTAGAATGAAACACGACAGTAGAATTACATACTTCGTATTGAGGCAGTCAAAAAAAGTATGATTCACCTTAGATCTTTACTCCATACTCCATATTTAGCTCTCAAGGGTAGAAAGCTTTTTTTATGTTACTTTCATAAATAGATTTCCTTGGCGGGGCTCTTGGAGACGCGGGATCAGGCCCCTATTTTGTAGTTGCTCCATTTTAATATCACCAAGGAAGGGTTTTTTCATTGGTAACAATCAATCTGAAACCATAGGCAATGAATTCTTTAGAGATAAATCCCTTTAAAATATTTATAAAGTACTCCATACTGTAGTTACTCTCTAGCAACAGACTGGGTACTCTATATTGAGTTCACCAATTATGTATGGACAACTGGTAAGCGTTGTGAAAGGCATCCGATGATAATCACAATAATTGATGGAGTACCATAGGCTATCGAAAGCGATAAGAATAGACATCTGTGATTTAGGGTGGCACCCCAGCGCTTGGCCCTGTCTCACATTGATGGGACCATAGGGTGAACCCACATAGGCCCCAAATTTGATGTTTAACACATTCACAGTGCGCGATACAAAATGTGATTCCTAGTCCTGTTAACTGGATTGGTCGTACGCATCGTAACACGATTTTCACCAAGAACATTATGTGTCCATCCAGAAGCCTGTAAGGGGGTCCACCAATAAGCCTAGAACTGGGATTGTGCGAGGATCTTCGATCCGTGCTCCAGTCATGCTTGAGCCCTGCAGCTTTGTTCTCCCATGCCCCTCGAGTAGTACACGTCATGCATATATAGGGATGTTCGATAAAAAGAATGTTATAGTCAACTGGGTCTGCAGGTACCGTTAACTAAGTGAATTAATTTAAATGGTCGAATCAGGTTGACATCCCGTGTGGCTGGTGTGGCGTTTATGTTTTAGTGCAATCCCTTGCCCAAGATACTGTTCTGCCGTTCCATGGGTGGACTGGAGAACTTTAGCGCCACTTTGGCTGGAACCCCGGTAACCTGAGGGGAGACAACCTTGGGTCAAGTCTGGAGGAAAGCTTTAATATGTTCATGTTTACCTTCAATATTAGTAGCAATTCCTTTTAATATAGAATTAGACGATATCTTGGTAACATAAATTTAAGATATAAATCTAATGAAAATAGTAACATACCGAATGTTGGGCCTAGACTGAAACGGGGGGGGGGCCAATCAGTCCCAAATTCAGGGGCCCAAGATTAGACTGATCGGTCGTAATTCTCTAATTCTCTACGGTCGAGACTTTCCTCTCTTTTCCTCCTTTCAACTGATTATCGCATTGTGAGAGGGGATAATATCATTCACTAATTTCCAATCGCTTCTTCTCTCCTACTACTCTCGTTCATTGTTTCTTTACAGCTGGTGCGAAAACCGGTGTCTCACAATCCCTCATCCTTGCGACCCTTTCGACGTATTATTTATCTTTTTTGATTTCTTTTCTATAGCGGGTTGACCCTGCTTTACCTATTGGTTTTTTTTTCCCCTGTGACTTACCCACAGTCATTCCATATATCGTTACAACTCGCCCGATCCTCGCGCCAGTCGATCCCTACACCCTTGATGAATACGCGCCTACTTGGTTCAAACTGTTAGATTTTGGATTGGTATAACGTATATCGAACATCAATTGTGCTCGGCCAACATGCAGAACTACATATGGGCTCTGCTGGGCCTGGCCATGGTGCCTCAAGCCCTGGCAGCAGACGTACTATCCACGAACGGATTCAACCTGTGCATGACCGATTCGGCAATCAACGTCCAAAAGATGGATGTTACCTACACTCGCTCCACTGGAGTAGTTGTCTTCGACGTGGCTGGTACCAACGCGATGGAACAGAAGGTGCAGGCGGCTATCACCGTCACTGCCTATGGCAACGAAATCTACAGCAAAGAATTTGATCCCTGCGGCGACGAGATCCATGTGGACGAACTCTGCCCCGTTCCCAAGGGTACATTCAAAGCTAGCGGATCCATGGAGGTTCCGTCCGAATATGCTAGCCAGATCCCTGGTATCGCATTCAAAATTCCCGACTTGGATGGCCAAGCAAAGCTTGTCCTTACATCCAAGAAAGAGAAGAAGAACGTGGCGTGTATCCAATCTCAATTGTCCAACGGCCACACCGTCGATGTCGGCGCGGTCAAATATGTCTCGGCCGGAATTGCGGCAGGCGCTCTAGCACTGAGCGGTGTCTCTGCCCTCGGCTCGGCGGGAACTGTTGGATCACCGTCCAACAGCCCTGGATTTGGCGATGTGATGGGCTGGTTCCATTCCATGGCCACCAATGGCATGCTCAGTGTTGCCTACCCTCCTGTCTATCGCAGCTTTTCCTCAAACTTCATGTGGAGTACTGGTTTGATCCCTTGGGCTGGCATGCAACAGTCCATTGACAAATTCCGGGAGGCCACTGGCGGTAACTTGACCACTGAAAGCTATGAGTACTTGAAGAGTTCCTCTGCCACCCACAGTAGCTCATCATCCACCAACACAACGAAACGGAGTTGGGATTATACCCTCGAATTCGGCGAGATGGTCGCTCGCTCGGTTGAGGCCTCCGCCGATGCCAGTGTTTCGGAGAGCTCTTCAGACAGTGGGGACAGTGACTCTTCGAGCACGGTTAACGACCTGAAGAAACTCGCTCAGGACCTGATGGTTCCTTCTGCCAATATTTTCATGACTGTTCTCCTCATCTTTGCCATCGTGATTGCCGTGGTTGTCGTCGGTATTCTTCTATTGAAGGTCATACTGGAACTGTGGGCGCTGTATGGCAACTTCCCGAACAAGCTATCCGACTTCCGGAAAGATTACTGGGGCTTGATGGCGCGGACAATCACCAACATGATCCTTGTGCTTTACAGTATCTGGGTGCTATATTGTGTCTACCAACTACGAAAGGGTGACTCGTGGGCAGCAAAGACGCTGGCTGCCATAACCCTCACTATCTTCACAGCGGTTCTTCTTTTCTTTGCCATTCGCATTGTCTACATGGCTCGCAAGTACAAAAAGGCCGAGGGAGATGCCTCCAGCCTGTACGAGGACAAGGAAACCTGGAAAAAATACAGTCTGTTTTACGATAACTACAAGAAGGACTTCTGGTGGCTCTTCATCCCCGTCATTGTGTATGCATTGGTCAAGGGCTGCATCATCGCCGGTGGCGAGGGCCACGGTTTGTTCCAAAGTGCCGGCCAGCTCGCCTGCGAGATCCTTCTACTGGGACTCCTGGTGTGGAGCCGCCCATATGCCACCAAGGCATCAATGGGAATCAACATCGCCGTCCAGGTCGTCCGTGTTCTGTCCATTGTTTGCGTCCTGGTCTTCGTCGAAGAACTTGGCCTTTCCCAAACAACAAAGACTGTCACTGGCATTGTCCTCATTGTCGTGCAGTCCACTCTCACTGCAGTTCTCGCCATTCTCATCGCAGTCAATGCCATCATCAATTGCTGCCGCGAGAACCCGCATGCTAAGCGGAGAAGAGAAGCTGGTAAGTCAAAGCTACTTTCTGATCTAAGCTCTATCCCAACATGTACATACACTAACGATTACTTTCTTATAGAAAAAGCAAACCGCGACCTCGACGACCTGACTCCCTTGGACGCCCGAGACTCCCTTCTTATGGACCACCCGCAACGCAAGGATTACGCCGAGATGAGCAACTTCAACTTCAACGGCCCATACGAGTCTTACCGAGACGAACCCAAGCGAGCTGGACCAACTGGCAGCGACGAACGCGCTGGCCTAGTCCGCAACGACTACGGCGTGGCACACGGGCGCAGTGCGAGTCCCGACAGCCACCATTCGCGAAGCTCTCTCGAAGGCCGTCGGCCCGCAGCTCCAGGCTACGGGATGGCATATTAAAAAAAGAAACAAAAAACAATAAAAAACAACCAACGAAGGCGTCACAGACTCGATATGACGTTACACCTCTTCTTGCTTCCATATTTTTTACCTTGCTCGACATTCTTAGATCGGGCACACGCGCTGTGACTTGGGAGTTACTTTTTTTTGACGGTTTTTAGCGTGTGCTTGAAAATGGCGGGCATTTATTGATCTTCCCGCCTTTAGATGTCTCTTCTTGTGTGATATCACTTACATCCATTCTTTTTTCATCTTGTCTCTATACATACCTCATTCATTATCATCTTTACCATCTATCATTTATATTACAGCTTGCACCCTGATGAGCATTTCTTCTATATTGAGTTATTAATCCCTGGATCTTTTTCGTAGTCTTATAACCCTGGTAAGATGAGTATGTTGCAGCGAAAAGATCTCTCACGTTGGTCCATTTTTTAAACAGTGATCCTAACAATAGTCCGAAGTTAGAGTCGAGTATTCTGTTCTTTCTTTGAGATAAAAGTCTATAGATAGAAGCATTGACATGCATGGCGAAAGCGAGATGGATGGATAGATAAACAAATAGACCTACTAAGAGAGGAGAGTCATCTATCTGAGCAATCCCATGAAGATGTTCTCTGTATATATCTCTCTTAAAGTGTTGGAAGTTGGAAGCTTACATTGTAGGGTAGCAAACCTTCCAACAAATTTATGAACACTAGCCCAGGTGCGCATTTGATTGATCACCAAATCATCAACATTGCCAGGGCAATACATTAATTCAAGGAGAGCTGAATATTGAAGATTAATGCAAAATTGTATCTTTCAGATTGAAGTAACCGTAAATTACAAAGGCTGGAGTGTTATTCGTAGGTCACGAACTGGGGAATCCTGTCTATGTCACGTGGATTGTGTGGCCCTATCTCAAAGACAACCCATACATTTAATTTGATCATCGCACCATATGAACAATGATCCTGATCTCGAAAATAAATGAATATTTATCTAAAAGTGTTTATAGCCCCCTAATCGTTATTTAAAATACATGAAATGGTCCTCCGTGGCTTGGTTGGGTCGTATCGCGCTGGCTCTCCCACCCATAAATACAATGACTTGGGGAGCTCCGAACCCTGCTACCTAGCAACAAAAGCCCAGCAACAAAGGCCCAGCAGCGAAAACCCTACACCCTACGCCCTTCAAGATCATCTACAACGTAACTCGAATGAACACTTTTGACTCTTGATTGTGAGGCTAACTTCACAACAAAAGGTAGTGTATCAACGAGCTTGAACGAAGGTTAAAGACTCGCTTTCACCGATCGCCGAACAATTTCCCTCCCGGTTAGCACGAGAAACCTCGACCCATGCCTTGATTCCCAGACCTCGACACTGGCGAACAAAAGCTCTGCCCACGAAAGCACCGAACCAGAGACAACCTTGAAACGAAGACAAAGAGTATGGAAATCGCCAATACAACCAGTTCGCCGGGCCCCAACTTCGCCTTCGCTGGCGGCCGCACAATTATCAATCCATGAGGCCCAAATTCGCTGGCCCCAGGTAAAAAAAAGACTTAAAAAACACATAAAAGAAACGAAATCGGATCTGAAACGAGAAGGGAGTAGATGCGTCATTTGAAGGTAGCACACAACGAGCAGCTTAGCGCTGGTAGGGGTGGTAGGTACGGTGTCCACCTCGGCCGCCACCACGGTAGTTCGCACCAGGCTTGCCGGCGTTACGGGGTCCAGTGGGAGCATTAGGGGGAGCAGTGCCCTGGGGCTGAGGAGTGGTTCCTGTTTGAGAGAAGTGTTAGTCAATGAGAGCAAGGAAACCAGGAACGGAATTGAGATGAAAGGGACACAATATGCAGAAACTCGTAAGAATCACATACCACTACCCGAACTTCCAATGCGTCTCATACCTGCTGGTCCGGTCGGGACGTGAGGTTGAGGGACTTCATCGTACATGCCCTCCCACGAAGTCGGGCCACCCTGCTGCTGGTAAGGCGAGAAACCGCGAGGGTCCATCGAGCGATTAATTTGCTGCTGCTCATACTTTTGCTGCTCAAAGGCAATCTGCTCGGTGGCGTTGTATCCAGGTCCAGTTTGTCCTCTGGCTGGGGTTCCAGCTCCGTTGTTGTAGTTGGCGGCCATGGCGGCGGCGTTGGGAACGGGGCTAGCGCAATCGCTGCCTGGACCGCCGGGAACGTTGGCTTGGTTGGGCTGCATCATAGTGGGGTTCATCATGTTGGGCATAGCCTGCTGGGAGCCAGGGCTCTGAGGGCCGGGGCTCATAGCACCTTGCTGCTGGGCACCCATTTGCTGTTGCTGCTGCTGGCGCATCTGCATCTGCTGCATTTGTTGCATCTGCGCGATCATAGCGGGGTTCATGTTCATAGCGTTCATGTTCATGCCAGGCATTCCCCCTTGACCGGCAGCCATTGACTGCTGCATCATAGTAAAGTACTGCTGCATGCGTTGCCAGTACTGGGCCATCATTTGAGGAGTCATCGAGCTACCCTGTCCCTGCTGAGCGGCTTGCTGCTGACCTCCATCGTTCTGGTTTTGGTCGCGGTATCCTCCGTTGCGGTGGCCGCCGCCGGCGCCGCGTTGATCGTTGTTCTCGCGCAGGTTGCCACGGGGCTGGGCCTTCTTGACCTCGATTGGCTTGCCCAGAATCTCAAGAGGACGGGAGAGAGCCTTCTCAACGGCAGCATCACCGTCGAAAGTGACGAAACCGAATCCGCGGGGACGTCCAGTGTCCTTGTCCATCATAAGAGTGGCATCCACAACACGGCCAAACTGCGTAAAGAATTGCTTGAAATCCTGCTCGGTAGCCTCCTGGCTAACACCACCAACAAAAATCTTAGAAGTCTTCTCCTGCTCATCACGGGGAATAGCACGCTTGGGATCAATCTTCAATATTTGTCAGCAACAGTTTGCTTTGTCTAATTGTGAGGCAGTCCTTACAATCTTTCCATCCAGATAATGCTCCTTCACCATCACAGTATTGACAGTCTTAGCGTCACGGAAAGTCAAAAAGCCAAAGCCGCGAGAGCGTCCAGTGGCGCTATCCCGCATGACGGTGCACTCCTGAACCTCACCGAATTGAGAGAAATAGTCACGAAGGGACTCTGAATGAATACCAAGATATGTTAGCTAAATGACGCGTTTCTGTGTAGTAAAGATATATATCCATACCGTCTGTAGTTTCCCAGTTCAGACCACCAATGAACATTTTTCTAACAATCCCATTTGCATCGGTCAGCGGCGGCTCATCGAAAAAAAAGAACATGGAACGGCCCGGGGAACGATATTCAGTGAGCAACATGATGCTGAAGGTAATGTGATAGAAATGATAATGGGTAAGACAAAGGAAGCAAATCAATATGCAAAAGTGAGTGGCCAGGTATTGCTATTCATGGGCTAGTCGAGCGTGCGAAAAGCCTCGCTATTCTGAGCACATTGCCCTAGAACAGACAGGGCACGTGCTAGGTCGGTACATGATCATTGTACCTCATAGTCACTGTCAATGTATACTTGTACGGTCTTGAGCAAATTTCATGTTCATGACCGGGATTTAACGTCAAGCCCACTGGTTTACATGGGCTTGGATGCACAATTCATGTCCCTCTCTTTCTGGATTGCTCAAGCCGGAGACAGGCGAGATGAGAAGCGTGGAGGTGCAAGTATTTCAGTCGTAAAAAGTGAATTGTCACTGTCTGTCTGTCTGACCCGTGAAAACCTTTGCCTTGTCTAACACAGAGTCCCAAGCTAGATAGCTACTTCTTGCTCTGCCCTATCAAGGTATATCGACAGGAAACTATATAGTATCGGCTGTACTATATATGAATCGTTCGTGACAAAGGTCCGTGGGTGGCGTGTGGTTGATTTGTGCAAGCGATTGACTTCATCTAAGACTCCAGGCAATGTGCCCTTTGAGCCTCCGCTTGACTCCGTGGAGCGAATGCCGGGTATCCCAATGTGAATTGTAGATCACTTGTGGCAGACGTCGGTGGTTGTGTGCTGGTTCCTCGAAGAGACATGTTCATTGGTCGCCAAGCCCGCATTTTGTTTTCCCTCCTTTGAAAATGCATGCGCCACCAAATAATCGGCGAATTTTTCCTCAAACAGCCCACAGTCCACAGCCCAGAGATATTTTAACCCGTAGCTAGGAGACTCCTTCCTGCACCCAGAATTGTAGTCGAAACCCATGAATAGCAATTGGTACCACGCAGGCTTGTACCGACGCGGTAAAGCCCAAAACCAGACAGATAAATGCAATTGGGGTAGAGTTCGAGCAGATAGATGTAAAAGAAACGCGATTAGTGGACTTACCCGTCTTCTTTGATCCCTGTTCCGTGAGACTCGGTCTCGGCAGGAGGGGGTGCCTGGGTAGTGGCAGGGGCGCCATAAGCGTTTCCAGAGCCATTGTGATAACCCGGGTCAAACTCCGAAGGCTGGGCAGGGTGCGATTCATATGTGCCAACAGGGGCAGGTGCGAAATCCTGGCCAACAGAGTCTCCAGCAGGTGCAAGGTTGGTCGCGCCTAGATCAGTAGGCTTTGGCGCCTCGACTGCTGCAGTAGTACGGTTGGTAGAGTCATCAGCATCGTAGCTAAAAAGAAGAAACCGGATTAGAATTTATTCAATGCAGAGTTCAGTAGAATACATACAGATCAGCAAAGAGATCATCTCCATCCTCTGGGTCAGCCATGATAAAATAGTGAGCGGTCAATAAGAGCAATAAGAGATGTAGTCACAAGAACACGTGCAACCCTAGTCTGTCAGAGTAGAAGCAAAACTAAAGTAACAAGAATCGCGGAAAATGTGAGAACAAGTGGATGAAGAAGTTGAGAAGTCCACCGCGGGAATCCCCAAGCGGACTGATTACATAATACGTTGCGATCACCCACGGGACTCGAGGTGAAAGCTACGTATTTTGTATCTATACATTTTAGAACCTGTGTTGCATTGATTTGCCTTTCATTTCGAGTCTATTTGTCCCAAATATGCTCTATTGATTTTCTATTTCCTTCCTACATGGCCTGGCTACAGGATAGACAGCATTCATTCTATTACAGTGCCACCCCGCACGTGTATTAGACTCCCGCATGAGCACACCACTTTCAGAATCACCATACGATGGCGAACAAAAAAGGGCAGGTATGTCTAACTCCCTATAAGACTCTCTTGAATCTGTGACATTGAGCTAACTGCATTCCTAGGAAATGGTCCAGGTTGGTTCGTATCTATTGTCTCCCCTTGCATTTTAATCGCAGCTATAGCTTACATGGCCTTTCGTCCCATTTAACAGACAAGTCGGAGTAAGTGGAAACTTTCTATGTCCTCTTCTACAGCTATACACACGGCTGTTAGGTCTATCGAATGCTAATGTCTCTTCAAGACGCACCGAATCGCCCTTCTGGGCTGGCCGAAGTACGTCCCTAAATCAGGGACCATCGAAGTTCTATGGCTCGAATACTGTGGTTGGCGCATCATACTCACATGCCAATATTGTACAGTACGTTATCCTGCATCCTACAGATCCAGCAATTGATCAGAAACGATGACTGACAAGTGTCTTCTTTGGCAGACCTACCTCCTCCCACTCAGGCCCGAGAACACCACCGAAACCATCTGCTACAAATGCTGCATCGAACTCAGCTCGCAGGCCAGGAAACCTAGTCGCCTCACCTCCCCGGCAACCCTACCCCGGCATGATGACGGAAGGGGTCAACGAGTGGAGTCGTGACCCCACTGAAGATGAAGATGAAGATGATGACGATGACGAGATTGTGTACGATGATGATGAAGATGAATTCGGGCTTCCTAGTCTTGCTAGCATGAGAAGGAAAAGATCCGCGCCTTTGAAGGCCCAGAATATTGATTTCAGTGGTGGAGCAGCAGGCAACCCCTCAACACTAGGGTACGGATTAAGCGCCGCCAACAGGCAACGCGCGAATAGTTCAGATATTGCGGAAGAGCGTGGTGCTCCGATGTATCCAACAGCTCGCAAGGGAGATGGGAAGATTCTCCGGCCCCAATACAAGGACATCTTACAAGGTATGTATGAGTGCATGACCGAAAGACACTGGAGCATGCTGACAGTTATAGACCCTGCCAATGCTCTGAACCTGATCAATCACTCCCCACCACCTATAGATGCTTCACCCAAAGAAAGGGACATTCATTCGAGTCGCATTACGCGAATTAACAAGTTCAAGCGCATCCTGCAAGCCAGTACGGTATCTCCCACCGAGCTGCGGGATCTCGCTTGGTCAGGTGTGCCAGAAGAAGTGCGGCCAATGACTTGGCAACTTCTTCTTGGGTATCTTCCTACAAATAGTGAACGACGCATCTCCACTCTGGAACGGAAGCGCAAGGAGTACCTTGACGGAGTCCGGCAGGCCTTTGACCGAGGTAGCGGAGCAAGTTCTGCAAACCCCTCTTCTTCGACAAAGGGCCGCGGCAGAGGACTTGATGAGGCGGTTTGGCACCAGATTAGTATTGATGTTCCACGCACCAGCCCCCACATTC